GGAGGCGGAATCAAAGACTTATTCTACCACAGCAGCCAATAGGGAGTAAAATCTGCCTGGTGTCGTGTGGCAGTTAAGGTAAAATAGCTGTGGGAGGTAATTTCTGGATCACTAGGCACACCTGAGTGGTGTTTGGAGTGGAGGTGAATGAACATGCATGACTGCAAATAAACTGTACATGAGGCTCACTTTATCAACATAGGTCATCAAACTGCAGATGACTCCAGACCAGGTAGATATTAGTTAAGGTATTTCCAGTGGCCCAGGCGGATGGGGGAATACAGCTAAACATGAAGTAGCTGAACAGAGTCACTTGTGAATCTGGGAATTATCCTGCTAGTGTGGTGGAAACCCACTGAAATCTCATGCTTCAAGGGGCTGGTCTGTGATCTGCCCCTACATGGTGTCAAATGGGGCCACATTTCAACCCAGGCACTATTAACATTTTCTAAGCAAGAGATTTTGCTTCCGTCTGTCCCCCCACCAGGGCTGCTCTCTGAATTGGCTCATTTCTCCATCCTTGCTCCCAAACTAGTTGCAGCTATTGCCCTCGTGAACATGAATCCTAGCTGTAGCAACATCCCAGGGCAATCAGGCAGCTTGGGAGGCTCTGGACTCTGTGTTACCATGCAGGAGTGAAGATTTAAGGGTTATAATAGATAGAGATCTGTATTCAGTACATCAAAACTCAAAATGAGCATTAGGAATTACAATGAATGGAATAGAGAACAAACCAGGGTGACATAAATATCACGTGTGCAGGATGGTCTTGCCGTCTCCAAAGGGAAAAACAGAACCAGAGATGGCACAAAAAAGGACTGCAGTCGAGTCAACCTCTGTATAAGAAGCTACTAAAGAGATCATTGCTTTCCAGCTAGGGAAGGAGGTGCTGGCTGTGCCTGTAAAGCCAAAGGTAGTACAGGGGAAATGAGTGGGGATGTTCACTATTTTTTCTAATACAAGAGCCAGGAAGGGGCAAGTTTAAAAGAAGTAAATGGAGATGTCTCTTTGCACACTGTGTCCATAACACTGGAGCTCTTGTCACAAATATTGTGGATGCTACAAGATTAGATTTGTTCAAGCAGCAACTAGACACGTTCATGGAAGAGAAATCTATCAAAGACTATTAAATGTAAAGACACTGCAGCTGATTTGAGTTGTCTCTAAGCTGCTCGTCCTAGATGGCCAGAAGAAAATTATCATTGCATGCTTGTGCTGATCTTCTTCCTTAAGCATTGCCTATTGGCCACTGTCGGAGACAAGACAGGGCTTTCGTTTGATCAGTACTGCTCAGCTTATAGTCTCATAATGACTTGTATTTCATGACACTCTCTTCTCAACAGGGAACTGGGCTGACTGCCTCTTTTTGTAGCCCTTGCCATGTCTCTGCTGCTAACAAATGGACCATAGTAATATGATTCTGTGATTCAGTTTTAAAACACTTTGTGCTTCTTTGGGAGAAAAGGCACGGTAGTTGCAGAAAACAGGATTCAAAAGACAATGAAGTTAACAAGATGCTTCTAGGAGAACTGATCAACCATGTATCTTTCTTATAGACATAGCTCTGTTGACAGAGTTCTGTTTCTAGAAGTGCACAACATGCATGTCCTCAGCCTCATTCATGTCAGTTTTTTTTTTACTTGTTTAAAATGAACAAAATTGTTTATATGGAATGAAAATCCCATGCAATCTCTAGCTGGTCAGCACTGCAACCCACTCTGGTGTCACAACATCACACAGCACTGCATCTTTCCATCCACCTTTTCTGGAGGAAAGGGTACCTTTTTTTCTGAGGTGTTTTCTATGGGGCGATTCTGGGCTGTGTTTTTATTTCTCCCTCTCTGCCCCTCCCTTACTGCGGGAAGGCTCACTCCGGAATCCTTTCGTGTAGGATTTATGATGTGAGACTTTGCCAGATGGATCATTTTGTTTGCTAGCAATTTGATAGTTGCAGGGGTGACGGCTTCCTGCAGGCTGTGCTTGTTCTTCATCCATGTGCCTTTCAGTTCGCACCAGTGCTTTGGTTCATGAAGTTTCAGTGCTCCCAGACCTGATGGCATGCTTGCAGCTTTAACAGAGACCTGTTCATTGTGCAATTTTAAGGTGTTTCAGTAAAAGCCTGCAAGCACTCTAAAGCTAAGGTCACCCTGCAAGTGGCTTTCAGCAGCTCCTATGCTGCATACTGACCAGGCAGCACCCCGGGATTGTTCGAAGGGACGGTGGCTGTCTTCTGTGTACCTGCACCCCTGCAATCTTCACACTTCCCTGACAGGCCCTTGCTTGCTCTGTCGCTGCTTCTGCCTCCACAAGACTGGCCCAGCCAGCCCCAGGAAAAGCCGTGGAGCGAAGCAGCTCGCACTGGCCTGGTAGCCTGCACAGCCTGCAGCTTCCCATGCACATGCACAGCGATGCCCGTGCACAGCCTGGCTACGACTGCGGTTTGGGACACAGCTGCGTGCTGCCAGGCTAGGTTTTATTTTCATGCTCATTTTTAAAATGGCATTTGGTGTTAAGGCTTGGTTTAAGTGGCTGGATCAAGCAATAGCTGAAGGAGAGGCCTTGCAAAGAAAGTCCAGGTGCTATCACGCACAGTTAGAGCTCCTCTGTCCTGAACCCGCAGCTCTCCACTGGCCTTAGAAGAAATGTGCTCCTATCTCGTAAAGGTATAAATTAGAGACTTGTTGCAAAGCCATTACGATGGCTTTGGCTTCTCCTTCCCATTAATCTTAACTGGAAGGGAGTGCTGAATTTCCCTGCGGAAGTTTAGGAGTTTTCATATTTGAGGTTTTTTTTGCAAGGACTTCTTTGGTGGCTTGATCAAATTATTGCCTGTTCTAAAACCCAGCACACACTCTAGTATATGTACACTGCTCTGCACATTTGGCTCCCAGCTGGCTGGTGTTACATGCCCTAAGAGGGGAGCAGCTATTTGCTGTCCCAGGGCCATGTGCATTTTCAGTCTTTGCTGAAGTATTTGCCATGTCTGGCTTGCAGAGCACTTTGGGACAACTTGCTCTGCCCTGGATAGCTGTGAAAAGATAACCCCAGAGGCAATGGTTATTCAAGGCAAAGCATAGAAATAGCTCTGCTTGGCGCACAACCCTGGCTCTGTCAGACAGTGGAAGGCATTGAATTCTTGATGGGAACGGAAGCCAGTGGGGTTGGACGATGCATTGGTTCAAGCAAAATGAACAGTAAGCTTGGCTCTGCCTTGAGCTGTGTGCAGGTAACAGTGTGGGCTGCTCCTGCTGTACACAGCCTGATGAGCAAACTCCTCATTCAGAGAGGCGTGGACCCCATGCAGTCAGAGGTTGTCCTAAAAGCAAGAGAGCCAGAACAAGATTTTTTGGTTGCTCATGTGCCAAGCATCATCCAAATGTGAGAGGCTTCACAGGATACTGAGAGCCCTCCTTTACCTGTGAGAGCCCAAACGTGCCTGGCAGGCACGAGGCTGGAGCTGGAGCATGAGAACAGAGGGAGACCTTGGCTCTGGCAGTGTGGGCTGCAGGCGAAGGCAGCAGGGCAGGCACCCGCGGCAGCCTCTGGGCCTGCTGCGGCAGCAGGACGGGCACGGGGGCTGCCCTCGGTGTGGGGAGCAGCCCCAGCTCCCTCTGGGGCAGGCTTTGGCATGCCTTGCTGCTTCTCCTGTGGTTCTGATTAGCTCTTGCCTGGGGCTCTGGCTTCAACCTTCTTCCTCGAATCCTGTGTCAATGAGATGTTCAGTCTTCAGCAACTGTTCTGAAGTCACTAACCTCTCCATGAGGTTTGTTCATGCTTTGGAAAACAGGATGGAGGAGAGTATCTCCTCGGAAACCTCAAGTGCAGCATAAAAGGTGCTGAAAAGTAGATAGTAGCCATGCTGCCAGAGATGTAACTGTGTTAGGATATAAGCAAGGTAGCTAATCCAGGAAGGAGGACTATCTTTAAGGAGATTAAGTATTCAGTTGGAAAAATCAGATGCTTTTGAGTGCCCAGACCTTCTTTCAGTTATGTGAGATGGGTCTGCATTCCCCAAAGCTGGTCTGTTTTTGTAACCTGTATCAGTTGCTCTAACAAAAGGTTTTTCCCTTCTTAGAAGCCTTTGTCTTGCCTATGGAAACCTTCTGTTTTGGGCTGTAAGTTTGTCCAAATCATTCAGAGACAGGAATTGCAGTGAAATTCTGCAGAGTACTGTCAGTTTTGCTTGTACCTTACATGGATGGAAAGCTTTTCGCCAGAAAGAAATCTGGATTTCGTAAAGCATCTGTATCTCAGGAAGCTTGAGTCATGCTGGCTGCCTCCTTCTTAGCGCAGACCAGGGCTGACTGACTTCTACTTCTGAACTTCTGCTTGGTCTCTTGAGGTAGCCCCATCAGGGCATGACAGTGAAATGTTCAGAAATAGAGGAGGGAGAGGTGGAGCTGCCCTTGCTTGTGCTGGACCTGTTCCAGAGACAATGAGGGGACTTGCTTCTGGCTCTGAAAACTTATTTCCTCCCAGATGTGGAGTAATGAAATGTCCCCTGCAATACCTCTAGATCTTGGTCCAGTATCATGATGCAAATCAGGCCTCAGCAGCATGCCACTGTGACTTTGTGACTCTGCAGCACATCTTCTTCCTAACCTCCTGCCTGCCTGCTGGTGCAGGGTTGCATGCATATATCAGGGGAGGGTAAGGACAGGTGGGAAAGGGGCACTTTT